AAGGCTTGATGGATCTTCCAAGCTAGGGTACGGAAGGGAGGCCAGTAGTTTGTGCGGAGTTGCCTGCTTTCTGATTTTAGTGCTCGCCGCTACCCAAACCTTGTCACGAAGCTATGAAACTGTTAGGGGAGTCTCGTGACACTATTTCCAGATCCCCAGTCTGTTTTCAGCTCAATCCATGAAGGCTTGATAGGTTTTCCAAGCTAGGGTACGGAAGGGATGCCAGTAGCTTGTGCAGAGTTGCCCGCTTTCTGGTTTTAGTGCTCGCCGCTACCCAAACCTTGTCATGAAGCTTTGAAACTGTTAAGGGAGTATTGTGACACTATTTCCAGATCCCCATACTGGTTTCAGCTCAATCCATGAAGGCTTGATAGGTTTTCCAAGCTAGGGTACGGAAGGGAGGCTAGTAGCTTGTGCGGAGGTGCCTGCTTTCTGATAATAGTGCTCGCCGCTACCCAAACCTTGTCATGAAGCTATGAAACTGTTAAAGGAGTCTTGTGATAATATTTTCAGATCCCCAGTCTGTTTCCAGCTCAATCCATGAAGGATTGATAGGTTTTCCAAGCTAGGGTTTTGGAAGGGAGGCTAGTAGCTAGTGCAGAGTTGCCTGCTTTCTGATTTCAGTGCTCGCCACTACCCAAACCTTGTCACAAAGCTATGAAACTGATAGGGAGTCTCGTGACACTATTTTCAGATCCCGAATCTATTTTCAGCTCAATCCATGAAGGCTTGATAGGTTTCCCAAGCTAGGGTACGAAGCTATTTCCAGATCCCCAGTCGGCTGTTGTCTGCGCCTGGCGAGCCAGATCAACTACGGGATACCATCCCGAAGTCGCCTTTGCCATCTCGACCTCGACGACGTTCGCGTGCATCCGCAGAACTCGTCGAGCAGGTTATCCGGTCGACCTGGTCGACCACCAAGTGCTCTGGTCGACCACCACTGCCTCTGGTCGACCACTAGGTGCCTCTGGTCGACCACCAGGTGCCTCTGGGCGACCACAGCTCCTGTCGAGCTACCCCCTGGTCGACAGACCCCTTCCGTTGACCAGAACTGTCAGCGGTTGTTGCCGAGCTCCTCTCGTCGACCGCTGCTCACTTGTCAGATCGACGGACTGCTCCGTCGACCTCCCGGTCGAACTGCACCTCCTGGTCAACAGCCCACCCAAACATGTGTCATGAAGCTATGAAACGAGGAGGTCGACCGACACGGGGGCCACTGCGACGGGCGCCAAACATCACCACTTGAAGGAGGTCGACCGAACCTGGTGGGCGACAAGGGAGGCTGGGGACGTCGAACTGGAGGGCGTCGAGGAGCAGGACGCCCAGCAGCTGGGCGTCAAACAACAGGGCGCCAGGTTGGAGGGCGCCGAACTTGGGGATGCCGGGCTAGGGCAGCCGGCAACCGACTGAAGGTGGCCGTCAACCTGGGCAGTCAACGGGCACGTGAAGGAGGTGCTGGTCGACCTGGCGTGGTTGTCTGGTTGACCGGGATACCCGGGCGACGTGTGCGAGGGTCGCTAGGGTGACTTTTGCGAGGCCGACCTCGGGGGTGGTATCCCGAGTTCGACGTGGCTGGTGGGCGCAGTCGTGGAGTCTGCTAGGAGTCTGCGCTGTGCTCGTGACAAGGCGTGGAGCACCAACCAGCTGCGCGCAACTGCGAAGCAGGTGCATCGTTGTCATGCGGCCTAAACGCTGTGCTTAGCCGACTTGCTGCAGCGTTGTCACACCGTGAACTTGCAACGTTGGCAAGCCGCGACTAAGCGCAGCTGCAGCGCGGTCGACCAAGTCGTACTGGCACGCGGTCAACCGTGCTGCGGTGTACGTCGAATAGCAGATTTGCTAGGTCTGATGTAGTCTTGCATGCCAAAGTTGTAGCTATCATTATGAATCATTGTTCTGCCTCGTGAGTCCACAAGTGCTAGAGTGAACGAATGCAGAGATCCCCCCTACCCCGTGCCTAGCCCGTAGTCTAGCACCCGATGATAGAGTTATCTCCGAAAGAGCCTTGCATTTGGGCTGGTGTTGTCATGACATTGTCGGCAATCCCTTCTATTCGTATCGCCAATAATGATTATGGGTAGAGATATCTTTCGGTGCATGGAAAAAGCATCTATAACTATAGCATGTGAGGCATGTTAGGGTTTTTAATCCTGCAGCCACTTCCAGCAATGACCACATGTTGGAAGCATTATTGATTCTTGGGTATACACATATACACATACACACATATACACATATACACATATACACATATAGATATATACATATTTACACATATACACATACACACATATGTACAAAACCCAATGCCCCAAAAGAACATCACCACTTGAATTCGTTCCAAATAAACCGCTCGGTGGACGAATCCGCACTTGCTACGAAAGGAACCACATGCAACACACGCAGTAAACTCTCCACATGCACTACACCATATCCCCTCCCCCCTGGCCACCAAACCATAAACCTCAACGCTGAGGACTTCTTTGAGGCAACAACTTGTAATAGCGTACGAACGCCACTTGTTCGGCATACTGCTGTTCAGTTGTGACTGTGTTGCCGGTTTGCATGTTTCGCCTTGTTGTTGTAACCGTACGGTGGAGCGTGAAAATGAACATGAGTTTTGCTGGCCACACCATTTTCTCCCCCTTGTCATCAACTCGTCGACGGCCAGATCTGAAAACCACAACGCACCATAAAAACTCGGTGTAGCACGTGCGTATGCTGGATATTTGCTGAAACGTGTGAAGTCATCATCCGGTGGAATCGCCACTCCCTTGTGAACATCCACCACCTGTTCCCATTCAACTTCAGCTCTTGGTGGGTGAGTTTGCAGCGCTTGGTAGGATTTGATAGCAGCGTCGAGAAGTGAAAAATCCCCGGGCATTGCGTCGATGTAAGACTTCATCAGCGCTGATCGTTTGTCGGTGTACTTCACCTTTGTAAAGGGGCCTGTGACTGCTGGGGATCCGGTCTCCAAGGCCTGTAACAAGCAAGTGAATGAGGGAGGGCAGAGGATGGGAGGGGAGAGCATGTTAAAATAGCGCACGGGCAGAGCACAAATAAACAGGACCTTGTATCTGATAACAACCACGGGAGTGCAGAGCACGGGAGGCCTGCATACGGGACGGCAACGCAGGGGAGGGTGGAGGGTTGGGGGGCATCACATGGGAGGGGAGAGCAGGAGGGGGCAGAACAGGGGAGGCCAAAGCAAGGGATGGCATAACACTGAAGGGCTGCATACGGGACGGCAAAGCAGGGAGGGTGGAAGATGGGCGGGCAGCACAATGGAGGGGAGCACAGGGGGGGCCAGAACAGGGGAGACCATAGCAAGGGATGGCCGAACACTGAAGGGCAGCATACGGGACGGCAAAGCAGGGGAGGGGAGAAAAGGGAAGGGCAGAGGATGAACGGGCAGCACATGGGAGGACAGACCAAAGTGATGGCAGAGCTGGTGAGGGCAGAGCATGTAAGGACAGCACACAGGAGGGCAGATCACAGGAGGGCAAGACAGGGGTAAATGGTTTAGCAAGAGAGGGCAGGGCAGGGGAGAGCATAACAAGGCAGGGCTGAGCACTAGCGGACAGAGCTCGAGAGGAGGGGAGAGCAGGTAAGGGCAGAGCAAGATAGGGGGGAGCCCCCAAAATCGGGGCACTGAAACGATCTTACCTGTTTCATTGCCACCGTCCGTGCTTCTATGTCGTCTACAGGAACATCGTTGGCAGTCATAGCCTCGACAAGCTCGGTTGTCAAGCACCGGCGGGTGATTGACGCCTCCGCATTCTGCTTGTTAGACGCACGGTAGGGCCGTTTGACGAGGGCGATGTGTACGTGCTCGTAGAGGTCGGTGCAGTAATGGACTGGAACGCCCGCACGACGAATGTCATCTGATACATGCAGCATGGCGTGCACCTTTGGAACGTTGAACTCAGAGCTTTGTTCCACCCCGAAATACGCCGAACCATCATTGAAAATCTGTTACTGTATGGATCAATACACATGCATTTCATGGTGCCCATAGAAAGGAAGTGCACAAAACATGAAAACTTGCAATAAAGTTTCAAACATGACCCATCACAGTGCGACGCCATCTACAAATTGAACAACAGCCTAAACAATGGTGAGTAGCAAAACTCACCTTCGAGTCATATTGTCGAGATCAGTGAGCGGGCCCTCCGTATGGTATGCGCGGTGCCATGCACTCGCATGCCACTGACAGAACAGATCCACCGTCTTCACGATCTTTGTGGCGACCTTTTGCCGCATCAGAAGCACGGGGAGTACCTGCATGACTGCCTGATGCTGGAACGCATAGAAGGTACTGTTACCACTGAAGTAACCGTCTGTGCGCGCAGGTATCCTAAAGAAAGACTGTCGACTGTAGGCGGTAATCTGTGCTAGATCGCTGTCCATCCTCCCTAATACCTCGTTAGAGTGCTTCTTTTTAAGACATCCAAGGATGTGCTTATAGACTCCTAGACTACTCATGTGCATGAGATCCACCATCAGAGCTCGATATGGATTCCCAAACTCCTCATCGCTGAAACAAAACCCCCAAAACGCGCACTCAACGCCATGAGTGCTATGCAAAATCTCCAAATCATTGCGTCTAGTTTTTGACGCCGCGCTGATTATTTCATTCACAAATCTCTTCTGTCCCTCCTTGGTCCTGTACTGCAGTGTCTGAGACATGTCGTTGAGCTTGTCATTTGGCACTGTACACTTCGGACAGGGAAACGCAGTTTTGATGCCGGTTTTTGTCCCTGCGACCTTACACTGCTCGGGGTAGTCGCCAACGTAGGCGTATGTAACCGGGAATACCCACCGATCGATCCCGTATGGATCCTTCATCCTCTCGCCCCTACACCAAAGTGATGGCATAAGGGTGTGTTAAGACAAGGTGTTGAATGATACTAATGACCATCGCCTTTGTTTGAGTGTTAGACGCCTTCGACAGTATACCCAAAAGGCAAAACAACAATGATGTTTCTAGCAAAGGAAAACTATGAGGAGCAGGGGAGGGCAGAGCAGGAGAGGGCAGAGCATGAGAGGGCAGCACACGGGTAGGGAAGCGCGGGGGCGGACAGAGCAAGGAGGACAGCCACAGTAAGACATAGCACCAGAGCGCATGGAATGACAGCAGGGAGGACAAAACACATAAAGACATAGCGTGGGAGGGCAGGGGAGGGCAGAGCAGGGAGGGCAGAGTAGGATGGGGGCAGATTAGGAGAGGGCAGCACATGGGAGGGCACAACAGTAGAGGGCAGCGCAGGGGAGGGCAGAGCAGGGGATGGCAGAGCAGGGGAGGGCATAGCAGGGATAGCAGAGCACAGTAACCCAGAACACGGGAGGGCAGGGGACGGGAGGGCAGTGGATGGCTTAGCAGGGAGGGTAGAGTAGGGATGGGGGGCCTGAACAGGATAGGGAAGCATACGAGAGAGCCAAGCACGGGAGGGTAGATCAGGGCAGGGCAGAGCAGGGGAGGGCATAGCGGGGGAGGGCAGAGCAGGGGAGGGCAGAGCAGGGGAGGGCAGAGAAGGGGAGGGCATAGCAGGGTGAGCATAGCACATTAAGACAGAGCACGGGAGGGCAGGAGAGGGGAGGGCAGGGGATGGGAGAGCAGGGAGGGTAGAGCAGGGGTGGGGGGCCTGAACAGGATAGGGAAGCATACAAGAGAGATAAGCACCGGATTTCCAGATCCGGGGAGGGCAGAGCAGGGGAGGGCAGAGCAGGGGAGGGCAGAGCAGGGGAGGGCATAGCAGGGGAGGGCAGAGCAGGGGAGGGCAGAGCAGGGGAGGGCATAGCAGGGGAGGGCAGAGCAGGGGAGGGCAGAGCAGGGGAGGGCAGAGCAGAGGAGGGCAGAGTAGGAGATGGCAGCACACGGGAGGGCAGAGCAGGAGAGGAAAGCACACGGGATGAAAGACCACGAGGATGGAAGCGCAGGGAATGACAGAGCAGGGAGGACAAAACACATAAAGACATAGCGTGGGAGGGCAGGGTAGGGCAGAGCAGGGAGGGCAGAGTAGGAAGGGGGCAGAGTAGGAGAGGGCAGCACATGGGAGGGCACAACAGTAGAGGGCAGCGCAGGGGAGGGCAGAGCAGGGGAGGGCAGAGCACGGGAGGGCAGATTAGGAGAGGACAGCACACGGGAGGGCAGAGCAGGAGAGGACAGCACACGGAAGGACAGAGCACCGGGGGGGGGGGGGGAGCGCCGGGAAGGATAGAGCAGGGAGGACAAAACACATAAACTTTACGCACGGGAGGGCAGGGGAGGGCAGAGCAGGGAGGGCAGAGTAGGGCGGGGGCAGAGCAGGAGAGGGCAGCACATGGGAGGGCAAAGCACGTAAGGCAAATCAGGGGAGGGCAGAGCAGGGGGGGGCAGCGCATGGGAGGGCAGAGCAGGAGAGGAAAGAGCATAGGAGGGCATAGCAGGGAGAGCAGAGTAGGGGGGGGGGGGGGGGGGGGGGGGGGCTGAGCAGGATAGGGCAGCACACGAGAGAGCAAAGCACGGGAGGACAGATCAGTGGAGGGTAGAGCAGGGGAGGGTAGAGCAGGGCAGAGCACAGGAGGACAGAGCTGAGGACGGCAGAGCAGAGACAGTAAGTCAGAGCACGGAAGGGCATGGGTGGCCAGATATCGGAGGAGGAGGTATAGCGAAGAAGGGCAGAGGAGGTAGCGGAGTAGGAGGGCACAAACTATGCGCCACGCTAGCTGGAAATTGGGTTATTAGGGAGAGGTAGGAACAACTCCAATACGACCACAAATCCACACACACTCACGTTTTCTCTATTTTCTTCTGCTCCTCCAGTATGAGACGCAACGCCTCGTGAAACACCTCATGCCGCCTCCGCGTATCATCCGCCTTTGAGAACGTTTGATCGTCGATTACGGGCAACAAAGCACATAGTCGGTGGCCACGCGATCTCCAACGGTTGGCCGATGAAATGTTCGCGAGCGATATGTACACGGGCCATCCCACGACACCACCATCTGTCGTAAGCGTGGTTTCGTCGGAGTAGATAATCACGGCTGCAACCACCCCTTCTTTTCCAAGCTTACGCTGTACAGAGCGCCACCACGTTCCTGTTTCTGGCCCCTTGTAGATTATATGGCGACGTGGGCGTTCAAGATCCGGCTGAACCACAAACCCATCCGCATTCGCAGGATTCTGGTACAATCCTCGTACACACGAGATTGATGGCCGTACGTACAGATTTACTGCCTTCAAATCTCCCGGCTTACTCAAATCTATTTTCTCAAACTTTGACAAATCTACCTCCGTTATTCTTGCCTTCTCGTAACGGTCGAAATCCGCAAGGGACCTCAGATTCACTCTCTGTGGGTTCTCAACGGCCTGCATCACAACGTCAATGAGCTCTCTCGTGTCTTCTCTTGAAAGTCCTGCACCACCGGCAGCAGTTTTGCAGAACTTGAACATGCGGAAGTCCAAATCCACGTGCGTTGCGTTGGCCCGTGGCGAGAAATCGTTCCCCGTTGTATCTTCGTTAGGTTGCGCGCTGTCAGGATGCAGCAGAGGTCTGCTTTCACGATCCTCTCGTGCTGCAGCTCTTCGTTTCCGGCTGCGGTTCTCCAATGCAAGACCTGCCTCCAGAATTTGGTTCCTGTACTCTGCAGTGCTGGTGTCAGTCGCACCTACACCCCCTGTTGATGAAACACCAAGAGGGGGACCAAATTCATGCTTGCCCGAGTGAGCATGCAGGGCCTTCTCAACACGGGTTCTGAAGGTGGCGTTACAGCGCTTATTGTCACATTTGTACGTCCCCCGCAGAGAAGCCATTCGAACTCTGGTACAATAATCTCTTTATAAAGAGTACAGATACAGAAAGTTCATGCCCCAACCCCTAGAGGTCACAACCTGGGCCGACAACAAAATTGACAGCTGCAGTGAAGATGGCGTAGAAGCAGAACACGGCGGCCAAACAGGCAGGTGGAATAGCCTCGAACGGTAATGCAGGTGGTGTTGCTGACAGGATGTCGAGATCCTGGAGTCACGAAAAGAACAATCCTTCTGTTAGTCCACGGAACGGTAAAGCTAAAAAAATGTAAGCGCAAACCGACAAGAATTCAGCTGCCATTCTTCTAGCTCGGTAAACTTGAACATTCCTTCTTCGAGACACAGTCCTTCGATGGTAATTTGAACGATTGCGGCTACAAAAACACATGAAAAACTCCTTATACACTAATTGGCACTGCGGATAAGTGAATGTTGTTTAATTACCGATAATTACCTGGGGAAAAGCCAGTCCTGATGGATTATCGGGGTCACGAGACTGTCCCGAACCGGAAAGGCCCAGACGCGGTCGCGACTCTCGTGAGCTGTTGGTTCACCAGCGTTGAAGGTGGAATTGCCAGAGGATGTGGTCGAGATAGCTACTTTCACTTCGCTACAATGTGGTCTCATGCACGAAAAAGTGCCCTATAGCTGAACCAATGCTCTGCTGGGTACTAAGAAAAAAAAAAGGGGGCCTGACTCCTGTCTCAGAGTTACGCCTACGAGCACGAGCACGAGCAATGAAGGCAGAAGATGGTGCTGGAGGGGAGACCGCAAAAATGACGAGCAAGGTATGACCCCTGTCCGATGGGAATGACTGATTGGGCAAAGAAGCGACTAACGGGGTGAAAGCAAAACTTCGCACGATCGCCACTAGCGATCATCAGACGTGCACGTTTCGTACAAATACAAGCGACTAACGGGATGGTTACTTGGGCCAACAAGAAAGTAAGGCCACCAATGAAATCAACTAGAGCTGACATGGGTCAAGTTTCCCGCGCGCAAAAAGCCAACTCACCTCGCCTTTCACCAAAATCGCCGGGCTGACGTGAACACCCAGCTGGCACGGTGACGACCAAGTGGACTAAATTTTTTATCCATACTTCAACTAGCCAATCCGAAAGCCGCGGAATGCCAGAACGACTTTGTCACGGTAACAACAGTTCCGGTTTCTGCTATGTGATAAACAACATTCATAAATAAGTTGTTCGTCATACTAAACTACCGCTGTCTAAGTACATGTCAGAGATAGCAGGTAGAAAGATAGAACACGAAAGGGGGTTTGCACTAGCAGGCAGTTGAGTACATATAGGAAACCCTAAATTGGGTTGTACTCGCTATAGAGTACCCCACTGCAAGCTAGACAAACACAACATTCTGACACACTCCCATAGCCAAAGTGGGGTGTAATCAGCACAATAAGCAGGCAGAGCAATAGTTCACAATGATAAGCAAAGCTAGAGGCTATCACAGAAGGCAAGTGAGGGGGAGGAGAGACTGTGGGGGCGAGAAGATGGGAGGCGACGGCTAAAGCTGCAGACACACTGTAGCGGCTGGCTCAGTGGCTACCGAAGCAATGGCCCGGACTTCAGGAGTAACTGGCTCCGCGGCTACGCCGAGCGGCTGGAGCAACTGACTCACGGGTGACTGGCGACTACCGGAGATTGTAGCCTCCGGACTACTGGCGCTGCGGACGACAAGACGGCTGCCTCCACTCAACCTCCCCCAGCTGTCCCACACCCCTTTCACACACCCCCTGCTGTTCCCCTAGCACTGCTCACACGCCACCCCCCTAGTACCACTCCAACGGCTCCCACACATCCACCCCCCCTCAGCGGCAGCTGCAGCAGAGGGAGACGGAGGAGGAGGAGGAGCAGGGGACGGGGCACACACCCGTCACCCCCATACTCGCCACCCCCAAACCCTAACACAGGTAGCACGGGGCGGGAGCGGGTGCACGCACGGCAGGGCAGGTGCGCGCGGGCCTGGCGCACGCTGAACGGGCCGCGCATGGGCCTGGCGCAGGCCGTACGGGCCGCGCGCGGGCTGTACGGGTCGCGCGCGGGCCTGGCGCAGGTCGTACGGGCCGCGCGCGGGCTATACGGGCCGCGCGCGGGCCTGGCGCAGGTCGTGCGGGCCGCGCGCAGGCCGTACGGGCCGCGCGCGGGCCTGGCGCGGGTCGTACGGGCCGCGCGCAGGCTGTACGGGCCGCGCGTGGGTCCCAGGGGTGCTTCGACGGGTGACGGGGGGCGACGCGCAGGTCCCCGGGGGTGCTTCGACGGACGACGGGGGGCGACGCGCTGGTCGACGGGGCAGGAAACCGCCGCGCGCCTCGGGGCGCACGGCGGGCAGAAAACCGCCGCGCGCCCCGAGCGCGTGGCGGGAAGAAAAAACATCGCGCGCCATAGGGCGCGCGACAGACAGGACAGCAGCGGAACCTATCGGTGGGCCCACAGGCAAGGAGCGTAACCGCTCTGATAGCATATCAGAGATAGCAGGTAGAAAGATAGAACACGAAAGAGGGTTTGCACTAGCAGGCAGTTGAGTACATATAGGAAACCCTAAATTGGGCTGTACTCGCTATAGAGTACCCCACTGCAGGCTAGACAAATACAACATTCTGACAGTACATTGCACTATACCCTAAATAGAATTATGTTCACGAATCTAAATTAACACGTCACCCTGTGACAGTACGATATACTTAATATACATATACTTTTCGTTCGGAAAACAACGACCTTAACTAGAATTAAATACAGATTACCATCAATAACGTCGAAGAACAAAACAAAATTGTATCATCATACGACTGCACTAGTGCTGAAATAGCATAGGACCTAAGACTATGTAAACCCTAATCAGTAGTAACTAGTAACAGCACCTAATCAGAAGTAACTAGTAACAACAACCGAACAGTTGTCACTGCACAGTGAGGACACCGAGTTTCGGCCGGTGCCCAAGCCCCATCTCCGAAACCAACTTTCCAAACACATGTGCACAACTTCCGATCTCATGCCAACACGTCAGCAACATTCGCATACCACACCACAGAAATTTGCTCGCATGTTTCCCAACCCCACCGCATTCCACAAACATTATGGCCACTGTCAAATGTTCTATCTGCTACAGTTTGTTTAGGCTGTAGTGGGGTAGTTACTATGGGGTACAGTAAGTTTAGGGTTTCCTACTTGTACCCAACTCTTTCCTAGTTCAATCACTCTTGTTGATTCTGACATGGTATCACGAGCCTAGGTTAGCCACCTAGGACCGCTTACTACTACGGGCCCACTATTCCGCTAGACGCGCCCTCGTGCGCCCTACCTTTCGTGCGCCCTCGTGCGCCTTTCTCTGCTCGTGCGCCCTCGTGCGCCTTCTTTCTGCTAGTGCGCCCTCGCGCGCCCCGCCCTTCGTTCTGCCCGCGCGCCGTCCTTAGCCCGTGCGCACGCGGCCCGCTAGCCGCCCACGCAGTTCGTACCGGCCTCGCGCGGCCCCTCGAGCTGCCCGCGACCTGCCTGCACGTAGGCCGCCGCCCGTAGGCTGCCCGTCGCCCGCCGTCGCCCGTAGGCCGCCCTTACGCTGCCCGTAGGCCGCCCGTACGCCGCCCGTAGGCCGCTGCCGCCCGTAGGCAGCCCGTACGCCGCCCGTAGGCCGCTCGCGCGCAGGCCGTAACCCGCGCGCCGCGGCTGCTGCACGCCGGCGCCTGCAGCCCGCCGGGACCCGCGCGCGTCGCCCCCTGCCTCTTCGCGACGCCTCTGCGGGACCCGCGCGTCGCCCCCACCTCTTCGCGACGCCCTTACGGGACCCGCGCGTCGCCCCCTGCCTCTTCGCGACGCCTCTGCGGGACCCGCACGTCCCCCCCCCCGCCTCGTCGCGACGCCTCTGCGGGACCCGCGCGTCGCCCCTGCCTCTTCGCGACGCCCCTGCGGGACCCGGGAGGCGCGGCTCCTGCGCGTCGCGCCGCCCCAGCGGGACCCGGGCGTCGCCCCCGCTAGTCGCGACGCCCCTGCGGGGCCCGCGCGGCATCGCCCCTGCCTGCCGCGTCGCCCTGCCCTATCCCGCGCCCGCCCTTTGGACGGCCGCCCCTACCTCGCCCTGCAGCAGCTGCCTTCCTAGCCCTGCCCCACCCTACAGCAGCTGCCGTCGCGGACTGCCCCGCCCTGCCGCAGCTGCCGTCGCGGTTTGCCCCGCCCTGCAGCAGCTGCCGTCGCAGACTGCCCCGCCCTGCAGCAGCTACCGTCACAGCCCCGCCCCACCCTGCAGCAGCGACCGTCGCGGCCCTGTCCCTGCCCTGCACCAGCTGCCGTTGCGGCCCGGTCCCGCCCTGCAGCACCTGCCGCGGAGCCCCTAGCCGCAGTCGTCGCCCCGCCCTGCAGCAGCTGCTGCGGAGCTCCCTGCCGCGGTCGCGGCCCCGCCCTGCCGCTGTAGCGGCCCCGCAGTCGCCTCCGTCGTGCGCCTGCCCTTCCCACCACTGGTGAGCACTGCCCTGCTCGCGCTGCTACCGCTACTACTGCTGCTACTGCTGTTCCTGCTGCTACTGCTTCTACTGCTGCTCCCGGCGTGGCCAGATGCAGCTCCAGGGCCGTCCGCGTGTGTCCCTCACGCCCCCGCAGCTTCGTGAGTGGTACGCCACTTGGGGTTGTCGG